ACCCTTATTCAATGGATTATATGAAATATTCTTAAGCTTTGACAAAAGCCATCGATGGCAACACTTGTGGCCTATAATGCCCTCTCCATTAGAATCATTTATTGCTCTTTACCAATACTTGATGTTAAAACCCATTTGTGTTATGCAAAAAAGATAATATTCTCTACATCCTTGGCTTTTGATTAATCGGAGATTCGTTCGTTCGTTCTTCGGATCTTAAATGTTATGCTATGACATCGATTCTTTTATATCGTTATGATATTATCTACTTTGCTCAAGAATATATATGTTCAACTACTACTAGCTCAGCTCGGATCGAAACTTGCTTTGATTTGCTTGGTGGGTTTTACTCGTGGGATTTAACATAATACCTTACGACATGAACGGATGACATTGACACCCATATACCACCGGTGTTCGTATTTGAAAAATTTATTAGTATTGATATTTTTGTTAATTCAAGTATAACTCAACTGATTGAGAGATATTGTAACAAATCAAGCCTTCCGCTAGCATACATTGTCCTCTTTGGCTTGTTACGTATGGACGTCAGTCTCACAGTTTTAAAACGCGACTGTTAGGGAGAGGTTTCCACGTTCTTGTAAAATATTTTGTTCTTCTCTCCAACCGATGTGGTATCTCATACATATACTCTCAACAACGTTAAAAAATTAAAATCTCTCCACTCTATATGTTGTTGAACTAAAAAGAAAACGGACATTTTTTACACTAATCAATATGGAACTTTGGTTGACATGCTTTTACGATTGCTAGCTAGTTCTAATGGATCGAGGAGACATGCTAAGCTCGGACCGAAAGAGAAAAACAAACCCTAATGATTGCAATTTAAACAAAAATATTTGAACGTAGAATAAATTTTTTATTTCAAAGTGAACGGTTTTGTTTCTCGTAGCTATCATAAATAAACAAAAAGTTTGATGCTTTTAACAACCATATGAATGGTTCCATATTAGGTTAAGGGAAGTTGACCAAAACATGTTTTTGAAAATGGCATCTAAAGAACAATGAGCTAAGAGAAGTGGAGAATGGAATTAGAATCACTTTGGTCGGCCTCTAAGTGATCTCAATTGCAAAAGGATGAAGAATTCATGCATGGGAAGTTAATAAAAAATAAAAACCCTTTTTTATTTTTTATTTTCCTTTTTCTCTTCGTGAAAATGCATCAAAGATAGTATCGAATCTAAGCTCCATACGATGCGACATTCTAATGCTACAACAAACGAGCTTAAATTCTAAAAGATTTAATACGATTAGCGGTAAATATAATACTTTGAAATAAATGAATGAAAACCGTGAGTGAAAACCCTAAATGTATAAATGAAAACAGTCTAGGATCTTATAATCCATACGTAAAAGACGTCAAAGTTCATCCAATCTAGGATCTTATAATCCACTCCTTTTGGGGTCAACATCCTCGCTAGCACATTGTCCGATGTCTGGCTCATTTGTAACAGTTCAAGCCCACTGCTAGCATATATGGTCTATTTTGGTCGGTTACATATTATCGTCAGTCTCACCGTTTTTAAAGCGCGTCTACTAGGGAGAGGTTTTTTCACACCCTTATAATGAATGTTTCATTCCCTTCTCCTATCGACGTGAGATCTCACATTAACGTATCGTTTCAGTGAAAAACATGTCCCTAAAGTTCTTTCTCAAACTATTTTCCTATCATTTTTAAAAACTTTTTGGATCATTTAGTACTTGTTTGGTAGTTGTTCTCTCTCAATGCTCGAGTTTGTTGATTATACGTCGTCAATTTCAAACGTCATTCTTCAAATGGATCGCTGTTTCAACTTTTATATGTTATCATTAGCCAATATGTCTCTTTTTTTTTTCCCATATTTTTCACCACTCTATGATGCCTACAACTACTCAAAAGCCCACAAATGGGTTGGGCCAAATCAAATAGATGAGACAGATGGGCCAGAAACCATGGGCCTGGGCTTGGATTTGATGGCCGACCATGAGAGCCCACGTTTCAACTAAAATGTGCAATTTTTTATGTACAAGAATAATGTTAAAGTTCCTAACCACCGAACATAACTAACTTGTTATGTAAGGTTGGTCGTGCTTCAATTTGCAAGACTCCATCAAAATCCGTCACTCCTAGGTCGGAAGATTAGTTTTTCGATTAATATCTCTTCTAATTTATCTATCTTTGGAGATAAAAAAATTTAGAAATTTACTATAATCGATAGCTCTATTTAGATCAAAAAGTCTAGACTAGAGTTGATGACTTGCGAAGAGATACGCTTCTCGATATGAACGACATTTTAGAACAATGTCTGCTAGAGATTGAGCTTGACTCGAGAGCTAAGTTTTGCTAAGGACTTGTTTGGACAATCAAAATTAACCCAAATTTAAATCCAATGAATCATTTGATGTGACACACGGTAACATCTATATGTCCAAAAATCTAAGAAATGTTCAAATTTGATGAATGACATATACGTTCAGTAAAAAAACAAACTTAAACACTTGTTTTCGGGCCATTTTCGAGTCATTTTCCATAGGTGTACCATTGCATTTTTTTTCCCTCTTTGAGATGAGAGTCATTAACTCGTTCACAAAAGTTATTTTCTTGTTTTAGTAACATACTAAATCCATCGAAGATTATTCTAAACATAAAATAAGGAAGAACAAAAACAAGTACTCAAGTCTAAAAGATCTCACAACTTTAACCCTCTCGAGAAAACCCTAATGGAGACACTTAATAGTTATGCTTTTTTCCAATATTTTTCAATGAAACTTTGATAAACGTTTAAATTTGATAAATTTGACACATATGTTTAGTAAAAATAATCGAACTTAAACACTTTCGTTTTCGAGTCATTTTTTAGTCATTTTCCATAGGTGTACCATTGCATTTTTTTTCCTCTATAAGACAAGGGTTAATAACTCGTTCTGAAAAGTTGTTTTGTAACGATCCGAAATTTTTTACTTAATTTAAGGTCGCTACTGTATACATACCATAAACATTGAATGCTGAAGACTTCATTAAAATTTCATAAAACATAACTTTTATCTTAAAACACAGTTATGGACTTACCTGTTTCGAAAACATCTTTAAAACGACACAACAAAAGACTAAATAAAATAAATAAGCGTTTAAGTTAAAAACATCCTATTCTAGCCTAAGTCTAAGAAAATAAATACCGTTTTTCTATGCATGTGTCATGGTCTTGAGTTGCGATGTCGTCGTCATCCGTACAGGAATGTCTTGCCTTAACCTAAAAAATGTAGTAGCACATGGCTTGAATATTTAAAGAAATACTCAGTAAGTTAGTCCACTATTGGGGTTAAATGCAACAATCACATGCAATGAAATGATGAGATCTATCTTTCATTCCATTTTTTCTACGGTGCTGTCCTAACGGGTAATTTTGGACGTGTACCATATACTCTACACATAGCCTATACGTGCGAGTATGAGCTTACCAGCAAGTTCGCACACCGCTGGACCACTTTCCTTATCCGGTGGACATACTTTAGGAGCCCCTTAGGCTGGACACCCACTAGAACTAGTAACCGTCATGGCAGCGCTATGCAAAGCATAACGATTGTTGTCCTGCCATTGGATGTACGCGTCCGTACCCTCGTGAGGGGATAGGGGTATCCCCCAAATGCATGAGCTCCCAAAACTTTTCCATTTTTATTATCCTTTCATAAACCCCACTAGCATCATGTACATATCATATCATTTTTTATATCATTTCAGATATCGTTCATTATTCATATCATATTGTTTCTCATTCTGCAGTTCAGAATCATACATAATTCTAACGGGTTTATATTTCATGCAATTTATCTTAATTTCATGTCATTCATATCATGTTGTATACACACAATTTAAGAGACCTAACATAACGTTCTATGCTTTTAACATAACATTTCATCATATACACATCATACCATGACATATTGCATCACAATGTAACATATCATAAACAAGTCAACGTAAACACTTCGTAGTCATATCGTTCTCTAACTTATCATAGCTTTAACGTTCTTATACCTATCACAGACATATCATTACGTGAATGTACCTTAGTCATATCATCACAATAACTTAACCTAACGCTATCGTTTTATCAATCCTAACGCTATCGTTCTATCAATCTATCACAAACCTATCCCTTTCTACTCGTAACCTAACCGTATTCTTCCATCAATCTCTCTTATCCATATCACTCCGGTATGTAACCTAACCTTAACATTTCATGAACGTATTTTACTCCTATCGTTACATTTAATTTTGTGCATCCTTCTTGTATCCTATCTCAAACATATCCTTGAACACATCGTACCATAATTATTATCATACAATTCACATATTATAACATATACATAACATATAGGAAGCATATCGATCCACAGACAATTCACACATATCAATATATATGACACATGCCATGTGGTTCTGCACGTGTCAACATCAAATGTAATCATGCCGATAGTAAGGTCAAATATACTATTAATTAATTAATACTGATAATTATTAATAATTGAAGGTAGGTTTGCTATCTAATTAATTAATTAATTAAAATTAATTAATTTGAGATTAAGGCGAAAAGACCAACATGTACCATTGCACTTTTTTTCCTCTTTAAGATGAGGGTCATTAACTAGTTCAAAAAAGTTTTTATGGTTTTAGTATTATACCAAATCTACTTAAGATTGTTCTAAGAGTAAAATAAGGAAGAAGAAAAGTATGTACTAAGATCTCACAACCAAAACCCTCCCTATAAGACTATAAAACTTAAAGCAACTTTTCTGAATTTGAAAGTTCAATTTTCATGAACCTGTATGATGTTATAATATTCTACCAATCTAATCCTCACTGTTGATTGATAAAATATATCAAATATACTATTAAACAAAATCGAAGGGAAAACTCGTACTCATTTACTCATTTATTATTAAATAAAAGTGAAGAAAAAAAAAGAGAAATTCTAATAAAATAATAAAAGCCACTATTTCCCCAAGTTTCCCCCACAAATCTCAAATTCCAAACAAAATAACTCGAACAATCAAACCAACCACTTAGCCCTTTTCATGCACAATTTGAAGGACACCCCACCATGGAAAAATCATGTTTTTCCCTTTTCCTTTTCTACGCCGGAGTTCTCGATTCTGCCGGCGACGTGTTAACATCGGAGCCTTTAGAGGGGTCATCGGAAGACAGGCGCAACCCGTCGTCGGTCTCACTTCTGTTCATATTTTCGATCATCCGTACAACTTTCGACATCGTCGGTCGTTGATCGGGGACGGTGGAAACGCAAGACATTGCGACTTGAAGCAACGGAACCATCTCTTCTTCAATGTTGTGGAATCGCATCAATTCAGCGTCGAAAACCTCCGCCGTCCATTCCTCCCGGACGACGGACTCAACCCACCGGGGAAGGTCGATGCCGTCTTCGCCGAGGGACTGTTGGTTGGGGGCTTTACCGGTCAAGAGCTCGAGGAGCAGGACGCCGTAGCTGTAAACGTCGGATTTGAAGGTGACTTTTCGGGTTTCCAGGACCTCCGGCGCTCGGTAACCGGCGAGACGATTCGGCGGCGTGGCGGTGGCGAAGAATGGGTTTAGGCCGAAGTCGGTGATACAGGCGTCGTGGTGTGGCCGGAGAAGGACGTTGGAGGATTTAATGTTGCCGTGAACCAGGTTGCAGGGGAGGTGGAGATGAGCAAGTCCCCTGCCCACGCTTAGAGCTATTCTCATTCTTGAATCCCAGTCTAATGGTGTCCTGCCGGAGCCTCTGCTACCTGTACCATGCAAATTTAACGTTAACACATTGAACAAAATGAACGAGATTGTGATATCCCATATCCGTCGTCCGTCGTATAGGAGAACAAAACACTCTTTGTAAGGTGTGAAAATCTCTCACGGATTTCAAAAACCTTGAGGGTAAGCAAGGACAATATGTGCTAGTCATGGATTTGGACTTTGAAAAATAGTATCAGAACTAGACATTGGACGATGTGTCAGCGAGAAGGCTGAGCCTCGAAGGGGTGGACACGAAACGGTGTGCCAGCAAAAACGCTGGACCCTGAAGGGGAGGATTGGGGGTCCCATATCGATTGGAGAGGAAAACGAGTGTTAGGGAAGACGCTGAGCCCTGAAGGAGGGTGGATTGTGACATCCCAAGTTGGTTGGGGAGGAGAACAAAACACCATCTATAAGGGTGTGAAAACAATGTATTGTGATATCCCACATCAGTTAGGGAGAAGAACGAAACACCCTTACACCCAGGTGGATTGTAATATCCCACCTCGATTGAGGAGGAGAACGAAACACTCTATAAGGGTATGGAAACGTTGGATTGTGATATCCCATATAGGTTAGGGATGAGAAACGAAACACCCTTTATAAGTATGTGAAAACCGCTCCCTATTAAAACTTAGAGGGAAACGCTGAAGGAAAAGCCTAATTATGACAATATTTGCTAGTGGTAGACAAGTTAAGCATCAATATGTTAACGCAGAAGGAAACCTCTCCCTAACAGACGCGTTTTAAAACCTAGAGGAAAACGCTGAAGGAAACGCCTAATGATAATAATATTTGCTAGTGGTAGACTTGAGCTAGTACAAGTTAAGCATCAATATGTTCCAAATCAGCACGAAGTCGAGTATAAAGCTCCAAAAGATCTAACTAAACTATTAGAAGTACGGGAGAGTGTAGCGATCATGAACCGTATAAGACTCAAAAGATCAGACATCCATTACTTTAAAAATTATATAATTGGTATAATTAAGTAGAAGGAAGAGGTACTAACCGTGAAGGCCCGCCGACAAATTTCCGGTGGAGATATAATCAAAAACCAGCAATTTCTCATCATTGGAGAAGTAAAAGGCTCGAAGCGGAACCACATTTTGATGTTTAATCTTCCCCAAAGCTTCCATTTGAATCTCGAATTCCTTCTTCGTAGCCGCCACATCCTTCAGCCGCTTCACCACCACCGTCGTCCCTTCTTCCAGCACCGCCTTATACGACGTTCCCACGTCTCCTTTCCCCAGCACCTCCGCCGAAGCCCTCAACAAATCCTGCAAATCGAAATTGTAATTTCCCCCTTCGAAGAACGTCAGCTTGTTCCTCTCGGCCGCCTCCACCGACCCTCCGGTAATGTCGTATTTCGACGACGACGTCCCGGCCTCCACTATCGAGATGGCTCTCGCCGCCGCCGATGGCTTCCGGAACTTCGCTGGATGGTGGGAGCGGCGCCGGATACAGAGGAAGAGGAGAATTGCGGCGAAGACACCGCCGACGATGATCCCGATTATGGCAGCTGTGGACCGGTTTTTTGGTTTCCCGACAGTGACGGCTGGTGGGTTTTGCGGCGGCGGTGCTGGAGAGGTGGATGGGTTGCAGGAGAGGAATGGTCCGCCGCAGAGATTTAGATTTCCGGCGAAGGAGGAGGTTGGGAATTTCGCCAACGGTTTTGGAATCGATCCGTTGAGTTTGTTGTTAGAGACGTTGAAGTCTGTTAAATTAACCGCCGAGATTCGCGGGATTGAACCGGAGAACCCATTGTTCTGCAAGAAAATCCTCGTCAAGTGGGTCAGATTGTCAACGGCCGCCGGAATCGTACCGGAAAAGTTATTCGACGACAAATCCAGCCGAGTCAACCGAGTCAAACGAGTCAAACTGGGCGGAAACTCGCCGGAGAATGCATTATCCTGAAGATACAGATTCTGCAGCATTACCATATTAGAAAAATCCGACGGGATCTTGCCGGAGAGAAGATTAGAGCGAAGGCTGAGAACTCGAAGCTGAGTCAATTTGCCAATCGTGTTGGCCGGAATCTTACCGACGAGGCCGGCGCCGGGCAAACGGAGGGAATAAACAAACGACTGATTGGAATTGCACTGAACGCCGATCCAATTACAGACGGAATTGGAGGTATTCCATTGATGCCGATTGGCATGAGGAGCTTTAGAGAGAAAATCGAGAAGGGCCTGTTTGTCCTGAGTCGGCTCCGAGTTGACCCACTGAGTCAGAACAAGAACAACAACAAAAACAGAGCAAAGAGAAATTGCAGACGCCATTGTCAAATTACAGAGACAAAACAATGGTTTTCCGGCGAGAAGCTATGAGAGAGGAGGAAGAAGAAACAGAGGAGAGTAGTAATGGCGGCGAGTAGCAGAGGACAGTATTTGGAAACTATATATAAACTGTCATAGTGAAATCTAAGGAAGAAGATGAAGAAGAAGAAACAAATACAACGCTCTTTTTTTTTCCATCCTCACGCTCTCCCTTAACCCAATACAAGTAGAGTTATTGTTGGGCTAAATTTGCTAATTCTCTCAACTAAAGTTTGTGTTTTTTTACCTTAAAATTTAAGGATTTCTAACTAAGGGTGTTACTTATTGGTTGGGAAACTTTTTTGGACCCATTTTGGATTGGTGACCCGAGCTATCCAAATAGTGTTTACAACTTCACAAAGAGAAAATATGGTGACCTCTACTTGTCAAGACAGACACAAGAGGATGGTGCATTATGTGGCTGAAGAGAAGGGTGCATCATCCAACACACCAAGAGTATGCATTGAAGATAAGTCGAGACATACACAAAGTTCGAGAGAACAAGACGACACGAGTGTCAAAGACAAGCTCAAAGAAGGTCGGGTAGAGCCTCGATCCATAACTTAAAAAATCAGGGTTTCAATATGAGTTTCGACATGCGGTTCAAGAATTAAGTCCGACGATGTGAAAGATGAAAGTTCACCAAATTTGGTGTCAAACGGATACTCAACGGACTATGCACAAGCTACCCTGTGGCATATGCGTGTGTCACAATGTGGGCGAGCGTCATAGGACGAGTAGTCTCGGACATCTTCCTTTGAAAAGGGTCTTTCAAAGACAGTACTAGACGACACGAGTGTGTCAGTATTGCACCCCAGCTCATGTGTCTACCATCTTAACGGGACATCACGAACATCCATCGATTTAAGTTCACTCGAACATTGGATTCGTCCATGTCCATGCTACGAAATACATTTTAGATAGCCAATGCATAATCCAACCTCCGACACATAAGTCAACCCACAATACTAGTGACAATGAATATATACCATACATATAACATTGATAACTAAAATCTTATAAAATTCGAATATCAAACCTTACAAGTTATAATGCATCACTAAAATCAGGTACAAACATTAAATATTCTTAATATTTCTAAGAGTAGTATTAGGTCGAGTTGGGCTTGGGTTGTAACCTCATTTTCGAGTTGATTGGGTTGACCCGACCAAAACATGCAACTCATTAATCCAACTGAATTTTCAATTTTTTTAAAAATTCAACTCAACCCAAACCGAAAAGAAATCTATGTTTGGATCTTACGTGAAATTCTTGTGCTATGCTCGAATGGATCTTCATTTTTCTGTTTCATTTTATGTAGGCTGCAACAAATGAAGACGATGAAAGGGAAGAGAAGGAACATATTATTACTTTCTATGTAGAAAAATCCGAGGTAGAAGTATACAATGAGTGATCTGTAAGAAACATATACTTACTATACAGAATCTATAACCTTTGTCATTGCTTTGTTTATAACTTCAAGAATTTGTTTAATCAAAATCAAACTAACCTCTCATCTCCTTTGGAAGTTGAAGGATTTTATTGCAAAAGCAAAGATAGTGGCAAAAAACAAGCAGAAACCGAATACCATGATGGCAGCTACACCTAGGAAGTCATGTCTAAACCCGAAAACGTGCTTCAGAACGTCGTGTATCGCTATCGAATGAATTCCATCTGATAGCTTAACCAGTTTATTGTCATCGCCATATTGTGATACTTGGAGTCCATATAAACTCCATGCCACAGGATTAGCCCAATAATACCATCTCCACCATATTGGGATCCTCTGCAAGTAGCCAACTTTAGGTCAGCTCAAAATCGATATAAGAATGAAGAGAATAGAAGTGAGACCATGTTGTGATTTTTTTTTTTTTTTTTTTTTTCCTTCAAGTAAATAAGCCTATTTCGCTCATGTGAGATTCCACATCAATTAGGGAGAGGAATGAGTGCCAGCGAGAACGCTAGTCCTTAAAGGGAGGTGGATTGTGAGTACCCACATCGATTGGAGAGGAGAACAACACCGATTAGAGAAGGGAATGAGTGTCAACGAGAACGCTGGGCTCTGAAGAGGGATAGATTGTGAGATCTCACATTGGTTGGGGAGGATAATGAAGCATTCTTTATAAAGGTGTGGAAACTTCTCCCTAGCATAAGCGTTTTAAAAACCTTGAGGGGAAGCCCAAAAGAGAAAACTCAAAGAGAACAATATCTACTACTTGTGGGTTTGGGCGGTTACAAATGGTATTAGAGCTATACATCGAACGGCCAGGGAGGACACCAGGTGGTGTACCAGCGAGGACGCTGGACCCCAAAGGAGGGTGGATTGTGAGATCCCACATCGATTGGAGAGAGGAATGAGTGCCAGCAAGGACGCTAAGTCCCGAAGGGGGTGGACACCGGGCAGTGTACTAGTGAGAACGCTAAGCCCCAAGGAGGGGAGGGGGGTGGACACTGTGCAGTGTGCTAATGAGGACACTAGACCCAGAAGAAGAGTGGATTGTGAGATCCCACGTCGACTGGAGAGAGGAACGAGTGCCAGCTTGGAGACTGGGCCTCGAAAAGGGTGGATTGTGAGATCTCATATCAACTGGGGAGGAGAACGATAAAGATTTCTTTCCGTTACCGAAATGGGGCAGGGGCGGGAGTATATTCCTCGTATCTGTCCCTGACCCCATCCAAATCCCCACTCCGCCTCACTTTATATATATACACACACAATATTAACTTATCATATATTTGTATTATATACCTATTACTTTACCACTTTATTTATTTACTAAGTATATATATATATATATTGAGTGTAGAAGACTATATTACAACAAAGCTATTATAGGATTACCTTATGAGGAATCATGAAGCCACTGAAGAGGTTCCAAAGCATATAAAAGGGAGCAGCAACGATGGCACCCACATTATGGTTTGGTGTGATAGCTGTTGTCATCATTCCGTAGAACGTGAAGTATAGCAAGGTAAAATACATAAAGAAAATATACCAAATAAACTTCAAAGTTGTCCAGTCAAATGCAGCCATGGAGTAGAAAATGGAGCAGTAAATAAGTGTCTGTGCAAACACATAAGGGAACTCGATAGCCACCTACAAAACACAATGCATTAGGAAACTTTCAGGAACTCAGTTACCATAAGGTACGCATAAAACGTCAAGAGGAATACCTGAGCAAATGCAAATGGTAATGCAGAATACAATCCAGCAGCTCTTTCTCGATATGAGACAAATCGCTCAATTGAAACAACTGGTTGAACGGCAGTGGCATTGGTGATTCCAATGAAAAGAACAGCAGCATAGAGGGATCCCATGGCATTAAATAAGTCTTGTTGGGTCTCTCTGTGAAAAGATAAAGATTATAACCATTTAGGACTTCAAGTTCATCGCAAGATAAGCAAGAAAGGCGAATTCAGAGTAAAAGAAACCTTTTGGCACCAAATCTCCAACATATTGTTCCAAGCATCAATGAGATAATAACAGTGTAAAAGAATTTTACTGCTGTATACTGTGGGTTACGCCAGTAAGACAAATTCTGTTTCCATAGGCAAGCTAAGAACTGATTAAAAGGTGACTGAGAAAACTTTGTTGGGAAGCTCAGTTCTTTTGAGTTACTCATTGGCCTGCTCAAGGTTTCGATCAAGTCTAGATTGCGTCTGAAGAAAAAGTGAACCTGGTTAGTTAAAGAAAAGGTATATAAATTTTTTTAAAAAAAGTTAAAAGAATGAACTGATACATACTGGAATAGCGTTGATCTCCGGTAAACTTCAGCAAAATCCACCCCGAGGCGACTTTCTTCAACTGCAGATGTAACTTCAAGCATCCATGCAGCTGGATTATACCCAAATTTGATCTTTGGCACTCCTTCAACAGCCTGAATAATATACACTGAGGCATCTGAGGATTTGTGTATCTAAAAATATCTAGCAGCAGTTGGTTGAGATACGTCTGTAAATGATTTTACCTCAAAGTACTTGATAAGTTCACGAGATTTGGGCCCTAATGGACCAGCATAAATGAGTTCTCCTCCACGCTTCATTAATAAAAGCTGCAGAAGCATAAAATGTCATCATTAAAAAGAACTTCGTAACAACGTTCAGGATGGTTGGGAGGGAGTTCCACGTTGGCTAATTTAGGGAATGATCGTGAGCTTATAAGTAAGGAATACATCTCAATTGATATGAGAACTTTTGGAGAAGCTCAAAACAAAGCCATGAGAGCTCATGCTCAAAGTGGACAATATCATACTATTATGGAGAGTCGTTATTCCTAACATGATATTAGAGTCATACCTTTAACTTAGCCATGTCAATAGAATCTTCAAATGTCGAACAAATAAGTTTTTGAGGCTCGAAGGTGTAGTCAAAAGTGATTTGAGTGTCGAACAAAGGGTGTACTTTGTTCGAGGACTCCAGAGAAGGAGTTGAGCATCGATTAAGGGGAGACTATTCGAGGGCTCCATAGGCCTCAGGGAAGGTTCTATAGTGTACTTTGTTCGAGGAGAGGATTGTTGAGGATTGTTGGGAGGGAGTCTCACCTTGGCTAATTTAGGGAATGGTCATGAGTTTATAAGAAATACATATTCATTGGTACGAGGCTTTTTGGGGAAGCCTAAAGCAAAGTCATGAGAGCTTATGCTCAAAGTGGACAATATCATACCATTGTAGAAGTCGTTATTCCTAACAAACAAATAGTGGACGGAGGCAAAACAAGTCTTCAAGCTGAAAGGAGCAGAAAGGAGGATAAGAAAAATGGAAATTACCTCGTCAAAGGATTCAAAGATATCTATGCTGGGCTGATGGATTGTGCAGACTATTGTACGTCCTGTATTGACAATATTCCTCACTGTCCGCATGACAATGGCAGCAGACCTCGCATCCAGCCCTGATGTTGGTTCATCCATGAACACTATGGATGGGTTCGCTACAAGTTCAACAGCTATTGTTAATCTTTTCCTTTGTTCTGTTGATAAACCATCAACACCCGGTAGACCAACTAAAGCTCCAGCGAGTGGAGTAAGCTCAACAAGTTCCATCACCTCATCAACAAAAGCCTGCACAAAAATAAACTATCGTTGATCAATTTATGTCAATTACACATGGTAATTACTTTAAAGTTAATCATCAATCGAGTTTTACCCTCTGTGTTTCCAAGTCAACATCTGAAGGTAATCGCAGCCAAGCAGAGAAGAGAAGTGATTCCATAATGGTCAAACATGGGGAGTGAATATCTGTTTGTTCACAGTAACCAGAAACTCTAGCAAATGTCTCCTGCTTTTTGGGATAGCCAGATATATGTATGCTTCCTTCAATGACTCCACCAGTTTTTCTACCAGCTAATACATCCATAAGGGTGGTTTTCCCAGCTCCACTGACTCCTAGTAGTGCTGTTAGCACACCTGGTCTGAACGATCCACTAACATTAACCAAAAGTTGCAATCTGTCTTCTGTTACCCCTTGTTGATTCAGCTCCTGAAGTAATACTTCAGATCAGATAAGAAACAAACAAGAAATACCCAAAATAAAGAAATGGATTCAAATCTCACCACGGGAACGTCAATGTAGTAATTAATATTGCTGAAAGACATAGAAAGTTGTTGGAAGGGAAGTACCATCCCTCTCTGTTTAAAATACTTTCCTGCCAAATTGTTGAGATGGTGAAATTATAAAATTAGTTTGGCATTGACAGCACTTGAGGAATGGCTAAGGAAAACTATACTACGTTTTTCAAACAGGTTAATCAGATTCAAACCATTCAATGGCCCCGAATTCTGCAAATAATGTCTCAACTCAGTAACAGTAGTTTCTCCTTTCCTTCTTTTCTCTCTCTCTTGTAGTTCTTCTTTGGAGACTACAGCTTGGCTTTTACCCAAAGCTGTGGAAAAAAAGGGTGAAGCAACGAATC